CTATTTCAGGTGAAAAACTAATTTGGCAGCTCTGAGCTATAACATTTCATGAGTAATTTTCTGTATTTTAAGCTGCTTCAACTCCTCTAAACTGACATCCTTGTGTTTCAGGTTATTTCAGAGTATACTAAATATGGTACTAATGGTAAGAACCATTGCTAAATTCCTCTATGCTGGATGGGCAACTTGGGCTAAATTATTTTCTGATGTTACTGCAGTGCTCTCAATGAAATGACACTGATAGATACATGAGCTCCTTACTAAACAAGGTAGTCTGAAGTGAGTGGGTTTAGATTCAAACAAGTTAAGTGTTGAACACTCCAGGATCTTGCCAGTGAATTCCTATAGCCAACAACATGCACAAATGATGGCAGCAACTGAATCAGTGGTCATTATTCTGCAAGAGGGGATTTGTGACTGCTGGGAATTAAACACTGAACGCAGGCCACAGTGTGAGGAAAGCTAGTGCCATTTCAGCTTTAAAAATACTGTCATGGAGAAGAAATGTGAAATAATCTCACCCTATTTATTCTCTGCTTCAAACCTTAGCTGGAGAATTGTGTCTACTTTTGTGCACTACGCTTCAAAAAAGAAAGATGCAGTCCAGTTGGAAATCCAGCAGAAAGCATGACCTGTGAAGACAGATTGAAAGAACTTGAGAAAGGGGATGCAGGGAAAGGCATAAGACTGTGCTACCAGTCTTCAGACATGTAAAGCTTGCTGCAAAGAGGAAAGTAATAAATTGTTCTCTGTGTCCACTGGGAATACAGAAAGAACTAATGGATTTAAATTGTGGCAAAGGAGATTTAAGGAAGACATTACGACAGGCTTTACATCTGTAACAGTAGTGAAATAGTGAAACAGATTGCCTGGGGAGTTGTGGATCTTCATTGCCAGACATTTTTAAGAACAGGTTAGACAAACTTCTGTCAGGGATGATTTGGGTATAATTGATCCTGCCTTAGGGCAGAGGGCTGGACTAGATGACCTTGCGAGGTCCCTTCCAGCCCTATTTTCTGTGGTTCTCTCATTAGGAAGGCTGATGTCATATTCCTAGGACCTTACCATTCCTTTTAAAAGCAAAAACATGCTATAGTGATGGCAAGAGTCAGATTGAAACTGACAGTATCTGGGAAAATTCAGAGCTTGAGGTTGATATCCCAGCCTTAATTATTAACACTCGAATGCGTGTAACACAGATGGACTTTTTGAACAACTAAATACTTGGGGGTTACAGAGCTATGAGTCTTTTGTGACCAGACTGTGATCTTTTTAATAGCATGAGAATTTGTCTCTTCTAAAGTGTATTAATCCTACATATTGCAACTTCTGTTTTTGTCATTTGAGCAAGTAGCCAGCAATGGTCTTCAGCATCTGACATATTCCAGGTGGGTCACTCTCATTTCACATGCCATCACACATTTGGCCACATGCTGTGCTTCCACTCACTTACTCCAAAGCTCATTCCTCTGCTACAATTTATCATGATGCCAGTGCTCAGCTTCATTATGTGGCCGTGTTTAAATAAACTAATACCGCTGCTAATGTGCTTGGTATCCATCTCTCCGTTCTCACACACTGGATATCCCTCCTGCTGCTTTCTGCTCACATGTTCTTTTATGCCTGTTGATAAATTTCATTTTCATCTGTCTTTTGCTGCTTTCCCTTCATGGTGTGCTTGTGTTACAAACTGCAGTTCAGCAGTTTAGCAGTTGGATTGCATCCAAATATTACCAAATGCCACATCTTTTAATATCAGGCAGAGCAGCTTGAATTTTCTTCCTTGGAGTGCTGTAAAAGACACACTGACATGTTTTCTGTGCAAATGCCAAAAAAAAAAAAAAAAAAGTTTAACAAAAGATTGAGGGGTGTGAAGCAAGCTGAAAAGCCTGCATTCCCAGAATTTTCTATTTTCCCTGATTTTAGGATTTAGTTCATGACCCAACTGCTGAGCTATGAAACTGTGGAACTATGTCGGTTTCTAGCAGCCAAGAATTTGCTGTTGTCACTCTTGTGACTTCATGTTCAGCAATATGACTCCATATGTTTTTCTCCCCAGAGGCCATGCCTGGACATTGATGATCAAGTATTGCCAAGGCCTTAGGTTCTAAACAATTTTATGTCAAACCATGAAGTGGGGTTATAACATATATATATATAAACATACATATATATATATGTATATATGCATATATTATATATATGAGTTTGAATTTGTCACAGAATCACAGAATCAACTAGGTTGGAAAAGACCTTTGAGATCCCTTAGTCCAACCTTTGACCTAACACCACCTTGTCAACTACACCATAGCACTAAGTGCCACATCCAGTCTCTTCTTAAATACCTCCAGGGACAGTGAATCCACCACCTCCCTGGGCAGCCCATTCCAATGTCCAATCACTCTGTCTGTAAAGAACTTTTTTCTAATGTCCAACCTAAACCTCCCCAACACAGCTTAAGACTGTGCCCTCTTGTCCTACTGCTGGTTGCCTGGGAGAAGAGATTGACCCTCATTTTACTACAACCTCTTTTCAGGTAGTTGTAGAGAGCAATAAAGTCTCCCCTGAGCCTCCTCTTCTCCAGGCTGAACAGCCCCAGTTCCCTCAGCCGCTCCTCATAGGGCCTGTGCTCCAATCTCTTCACCAGCCTTGTTGCCCTTCTTTGGACCTGCTCCAGCACCTCAACATCCTTCCTGAACTGAGGGGCCCAGAACTGGACACAGTACTCCAGGTGCGGCCTCACCAGTGCCAAGTAAAGGGGAGGAATGACTTCCCTGGTCCTGCTGCCACACTATTCCTAATACAGGCCAGGATGCCATTGGCCTTCTTGACCACCTGGGCACACTGCTAGCTTATGTTCAGCTTCCTGTCAATCAGATCCCCCAAGTCCCTCTCTGCCTGGCTGCTCTCCAGCCACTCTGGCTGCAGCCTGTAGTGCTGCATGGGGTTGTTGTGACCAAAGTGCAGGATCTTTCAGCATTCGTGGCTTTTGAGCTTTTCTTTACAGATACATGGAGAATAGAAACTAAAGTAAAAATAAAACCAAAACCAGAATAAAACTGGGTGTTTTCCATAATCACATAATGCTTCCAGAAGCTGAGACTTGAAAAAAACCAGCATTACTGTGAAATCTGGTAATGTTATGACTGGATATTTGTCCATTAAATTGTTTAGCATCCGAGAGAAGGATGCTATCAGTTGTTTTTCATAATGGTGAAATGCTTGTCAGGATGCTTTGAGACACCCATTGCTGTATGTATCTTTGGTATTTCCTTGTTACAGACTGATCATATGCACTGGAGCTGTGGGTACTGCATGTGGCTTGCCACAGGAGACTTCCCTTAATTGCCTTGTGCTTTGAGTCAGAGTCCAGAGCAGCTTTTGTCATGTTTGTTCATCTGCTTTGCTCAAGACTTGTATTTCACCTGTTTTGGTGGTAGATGGACCAACTACACAGATACTCTGGCACATCCAGGTCACAGCTGCATTCCTTGTCCTTGTGCATTCTGTGTGTGTATTCCCCAGCTTCTGCTGGGGGATAAAGTGCACCACCAGTGCTCCAGAACCCACGTGCCCCCAGAGTTTCAACCTAAGGTGCATTGGCTCAGAACAGGCTTTTGTCTGAGGGCAGATTTCCCCCACGTCACTTGCTTCTACTTTGTGTTTTGCACTGCTCAAAACACTCCTTTTCCCTGTGGGTACAGTCTGTGGCAAGGGATCACTTGACCTTGAAATGTGGTTTCATTCATTTTGCCCATATTGAGCTTGAAAGGAAGGTAAGTCTTGTTATTCAGACACTGCAACTGTGATAATTTCCTGCTCCTGTCAGATGTTTCCTGTGTAATACTGCTTCTTTATGTTCTGTTTTTCCTTATTGGCAGGTTTTGGTGGCAACGTTTTTGAATTGCAGGTCCCCCAGTGTATTTTTCCTTGCACTTCTTGGACCATGTGCTCTTTAGGTGTTCTTACCTCCTACATCTCCAGCACTGAGGCTAACACATCACCCTGCAAATCCTACTTGTGAGGAGGGAAGGGGCCTGTTCACTGCATCTCTTGAGCAGAACCAGTGTGAGTGAGCATTTGCCATGCAAGACTGTTTTTCAAAGGTTTTTGCATCCTATTGTACTCCTGCAACCTCCTGTGTTGCCCTCTTTGCCCTCAGTTTTGGGTTGGCACATACAGAGGCCAAAAGTACCTGTGAATTGCACTCAACCAGTTTCCCCAGCTTCTCTGCACCTTTAAGGAGCTCAGAAAGTCCACAGTGGCTGCAACACCAGCTGAATTTGGGTTTTGAGTGAGTTAGAGACTTTTATGTATGGATGCAACCTTTTTTAAGGTACCTTTCAGCACTTAAGAGCCTGTGTAGGCTCTAATAAATAAATGCTTTTATCGAAGTGTTGACTTTAGTGCAGTCATTCAGTACCACACACACAAATACATACTCATGAATCTTTTGAGCTGTGAGGTTTAGAAATCCAGTTCCTTGGTGATGTGTCATGAGTTTACAAGGCACCTACCCCGGTGGAGCCCTAATCTGTGCCACAGTGTCTGGGGTGCTACTTTAGAGCAGAAAAATAACAGTAATTTGTAAATGAATCAGGGAGATTTTAAAATCAATTTTCTTCAGCAAACAGCAATTGTTGAAATGGTGGTGGTTATCGCTAAGGACTGAGCATATAAAATGCTTCAAGTCAGAGAATTGGATTCTATAAACATGTAATTCTTTTATCAATAATTCTTATGAGCAGGCTTCTTTCTATACTCTCCCTTTTGCCAAAACTCTCCCCTCTATTATATACTGAGCTCATTTGCCTCCTGGATAGTTGCGGATTTGTTGGTATACAAATTAATTTTGTTATTGACTAGAACGAACATTTGGAGGATAAGAATGCCATTGCTATTCATACCTAAAAGTAATCAATACAGGTACAGAGGAATAAATATTTTCTAACCAAGTAAGCATCCTCTCCGACCTTATTTCGCCTTTCTAAAACCCACAGGACTGTATCCTGGCTCTCATGCTTGTGAACAAAGCAGTGAGAGGCAACAGTGTTTACCTCTTATCAAAGGTAAGAAACTTCTCTCCTGGTCTTGGGTCTTCCCATACTCAGAAGTCACTCACTCATAACAGTGTATATCTACCCTTTCACTGCAGTGGTGATAATTGTTTGTCCGTCATCAATTTATTACCTCCAACAAAGTGGAGAAGAAACAAATCCCTGCTTGAAACACCTTGACATCTCCTTGGAAATGGCCGACAGCACTCTGTGGCTACAGCGTTTAAGAGAAAGGGTGTGAGGGGGATATTACGATGATGTGGTGTGATCTGCATCAGCCTGGGATCTGTCTGTGAAACGAGTATTATTAGCACATCAAAAGCAAAGTAAAGGGGAAAAAATAGCAAAAAAAAAGGTGGGGTTTGCCCTGTTCCTAGCCTATTCCACTGTCCAGTTCCAGCTGCTCCTGACCGATCGTTGGTTCCATTTGGGGTGTTTCAGGCTTGCCTTGCCCAGAGACACCCAGGAGATATGCGCTCCCTTGTAGCCAGATTGTGCCTTAATTTAAGCCTGAAATCAGCCGGGGGCGAACAAAGCGCCAGAAGTGAATTTTGCTTCTCTTCAGCCGGCGGGTCCTTTCAGAGGGTTTGCAGAGGAAATGTCGGAGTGCGAGGGAGGAGGCCGTCCAGCCGCTCGGGCGAGCCCGGCTTCCCGTCACGGACGGGCTCGCTCCTTCCCGGCGCTTCCTCCAGCCGACAGCAGGTGGCGGCCGCGCCTCAGGCTCGGGGCGCGGGGCCGGCCGGTCCCTCCCGGGGCTGTCTCCGGCTCCGCCGCTCCGCATTCCCGCCCCCGGCGCCCGCCCTGCGCTCGCGGCGCTGCCCGCCCGCGGCACCCGCCCCTCGGCCGGCGCCCTCCGCCCTGCCCTGCCCGCCCGCCCCTCCGCCGCGGGCGGGGAGGCAGCGCCGGGCTCCTCGGGGCTGCTGGCGTGTGGCGCAGGGATGGGGCTTGGCGGGTTATTTTGTTTATTTTTCCTTATTTCTCCCTGTCTTCCCTTTTCCTCCTTCCCTCGCCCGACTTCTGCGTATCTAGGGTAACATTTGCTGCTCGGGTTTGTGTTTAATTCGGGATGAGTGAGGAGCAAAGTGCTGCGAGGGGCAAGATAGAACAATACTGTTCTCCGGTGTTCTTGGGTTCACAGAATCACAGAATGTTCTGAGTTTGAAGGGGCTGATAAGGATCATTGAGTCCAACTGCTGGCCCAGCACAGAACCATCCCCAGGAGTCACACCATGTGCCCCAGAGCATTGTCCGAACGCTTCTTGAACTCTGTCAGGCTGGATGCTGTGATCACTTCCCTGGGGAGCCTGTTCCAGTGCCCAACCCTGCTCTGGGTGAAGAACCTTTTTCTGATATCCAACCTGAACCTCCCGAGACAAGTTCAAGTCATTCCTTCAGATCCTGTCACTGTTTGTCAGTGGTGGCTACTTGTTCGGGACTGCCTTTGGTGCTCCCAGGCGCTGTGTTGGCTCCTGCCTGCACTGTGCCACCATGGGCGAGTGGGAGCTGGAGCCCAGGGTGCCCAGCTGAGAGCCTCAGGGCCTCAAGGCTGGCCAGCCCCAAGGGGAGGGTGGGGACAGGGTGAGGGATGAGGTACACCAGGGCTTGCACGCTGCTCTGACTGTGGCCACTGACTACCACAACCCAGGATTAGTGACCTAACTGATGGGCAATGCAGTCAGGCCTCTTGTGTTGGTTGGGGATGGGTGGGAGATTAACTGCAAAGAGTTTGGGAGACTGCCTGTGGAGCACTCAAAAATAGACCATAAGCAGAGCTGAGCAAGACAGCAATAAAATTCAATCAAGAAGAAACAGTGGAAAAGATTCCTCTTTCCAATGGAGGGTACTGGTTTTGGGCTGTCTTACAATCAGTATACACAGAGATGGAAGCTTAGTTAAGTGAAAGTCTCCACTGCCCTGACCTGTCATCTATTCACATTATTTATCACTTATTTCTCAGCACAGACGTGCCCAGAATTTTATTAAGCAGAACAAACTGGAGTTGAATATTTAGGCTGAAGTGCAATTGGTAATGCAAAAGGAGTGGCCCTAGTAAGATGTGATTTCTAATATGCCATAAAGTGCAGAAGAGTTCAGGTCAATTAATCAATATTTGTGGAATTGCAGAGTAAAATTTCCAGCTACTGGATGTTTGATACCTGAGTATTTAATCATTAGACCACTGAGCCTGTATACATAGGTGATGTCGTAGAAAGGCAGTATGTGCTGGAGACATAAAGTCGTTCTGGAGGTGATAAGGTTTTCTGATATCTTGAATTTGACCTCTTATGGGAACAGGATCCAGGCACAGTTCAGGTGGTGAAACTTGCACAATATGATAAGGAACAAGAGCTCATTTAAATGAATCTGCCATTTAGTGGCTGCCTGACTACTCAGAGTTTCTCCGGAGTGCCAGTCTCCTCTTTTTCGAATGAGAACAGTAAGATAGCTGTCCTTTGCAAAACAGGATGAAACCTGCTGGTGAGCATTTTCACATGCTGTTTTCTCTTTGTTTTGTAATTGTAATTTTTAAACAGAAGTGAGCAGCCACTGAGATTTTGAGCCAAACACTTAGGAATGTAGACATAAGTGGAAAGCCAGTCCTATGTTCACAAGGTCCACCTTTCCTTCTTAAAATATCAATTCCATACCCTTGAATGCTTTTTGGAGACATCTGTAGACTCAACTGAATAGAACCAAGGGATGAACAAGTAATTATACTTTTCAAGCAAATAAATACATCTGTATTATTAAACATAAATGTTTGAAGTTAAGCATCAAAAGTAATTTTTGACATCTGAGTATCTGATCCCTATACTCTAATTGGTTTTTTAGGTGCTAGCTTTTTAGCTTTCTGTGGCAAAGACCAGTCCTTTCTCTATGACAACTTCCAATTCCTTAGCGGTGTACCCAGTGCAGGGTGCAAAGGAGGGTAAAGTAGACCATCTCACCTGCACTGGGGTTCCTTTGCTGCAGTTTCTTTAAGCACCATCTCTCTTGAGCGTTTTGAGGCATTGAGCACAGCTTCCCCCGCCCTGCAGTTGGCTTCTATAGTTCTGCTGAGGGAGTTCCACCCAGACAACACTGAGACACGTACCAAAGAGCAGGGAGAGAGGAGGAAGAAACATGAGTTTGTCTCTGGACACCTTTATTATATCCTACCTGTATTTCCCTGCCACTGGGAAGCATAATTTCTGTATAGGATGTCTGTCTTCATCTGTGAGGGAGGGAGACAGAGGTAAGCCAGGCACCAAGGCAGCAGAGCCATCACTGCTCGTTATTCCTCACGAAGAATAGGACCTGTGGGAATAGCTATGCCATTGGCACTGAACCAGTGCAGGCTAGGGATGATGCCACAGCCACTGCAGTGAGATCTTACTTAAAGATGCAATTTTACCACTTTTCTTTCTCTGCCAGCCTGGGCGACTGCTCACCTTGCTTATACCTCTGATTGGCCTTCTTTATACCACCATTGATGACAAGGTACTCCTAAGTGCAAATTATTACAAATAAATGGGTATAAATATCTATTAAGAATTACAGAAAGTAATGCTACTGATAATTAAATTGGCAACCCAATCTGCCATGCAGCTGACCAGGGTTAGCTTCACTTTACTGCAGCAGCTGCATCCACACTGTCTTGAGGTGAAACTTAAGTTCCCCTTAAGTCAGAGAGGAGGTGATCCTGTAAGCCTAAGTCTTTGAAGCTGGGCCTCTTTACATGGCTAAGCACGTCCAACATGCTCTAATGCCAGCCAGTACACACAGGGAGCTGGGCCACAAGCTATCTGTGGGGGCAGCGGAGCTCTCAGTAACTAAAGCCACTCCAGAAGTTGCTCTTTCAGAGAGGTCCAGATGAAACAAGAGAGGCTGTTTACTAGATGTGAAATAAAGGTTTTAAAGCTCAGGCATCCTTTCTAATCTAGAGTGAGGGGGGTTCTGTTGGTTGTATTGTAGATATTGCTCTATTTCAGGAAGTCTGAGTGTGGGGCAGTTGTCCCCCCTCCCAGTGGGGGACCACAAACAGGTGCCAGGGTTTTATGACTATCCAGGCCTTCTCCGGTTGCTAAATGGGTGGGGGAATCCCTTCTAGATCCCGCTCAGCTGAGAAGGGGATTCCAGGGGGCTCCTGCTGTGGAAAAGGCTGACAATCCAGCTCTGCTCTAATTATAGCATCAGAAGGAGGCAATATTAGAGGTACAGATGATGGAGGGTATTTACTACCCTGCTCCTTTCTCCAGGAGGCACTTTTTGTTCTTTGCACCCAGTTTTAGCACCACAGGAGTACTGAATGCTCAAGAGTTCTTGGTGCTTAAACCAAAAATGAAACAAAGAGTGAGAGTATTGATTCTGTTTCTTGTGTAACAGTCTCCACCCTTCAAACTCTGGGATAAGTGTTTGCAGAATGAGACCCTTCAGTGAAACACGCTTTGAATTTCAAGCCCAAACTTCTCCCACCATATGCAAAGACTTTGTTATCACACAGATCCTTGTCATCACATCTGCTTGATCAAAGCGTTCCTGGACAGAAAGTGGGGGTTGCAATTGCCAAGCAGGAAAAAAAAATAGTAGCTCTATGCCTTACCCAAGCCTGTTGTTGTTCTTATGGCTGCACTCACAATAGCTGCCGCCTTTCCTCGCAAAGCCAGAGTTTAACACCTTTGTTTACCAAAGCTCCAGTTAACCAAAGCTCCAGTCCTCTGCAGGAGGTGATACAGAAAAGCAAGAGTCTCTCTTACCTTATTCAAACAGAGTCCCAGGGTTTCTGAAGAATGTACAGGAAGCCCTGTCTAGGAATCATTATTCCCACTATCCCTTGGCTGTTTTTCGAAACTTAATTTCATTTCATGGGGTTTTAAAATCCAAGTAGTCTTTCCCACGTCCCTTTTCCTCCACACTGTGGTAATTCATTCCTGGACTATAAGCATTTGCACCAACCAAACATATCAGCAGGTTTGAAAAAATGAAACAGGTACTTTACATGTAATTAATTTAGTGATTTGCTCAGTTGCTGATTCACGTGCATAACCTCAATTAACATTAATGGGAGTTATGTAGGCATGTCAAGGGCAGAATAGACCCCTAATAATCTAACATGGAATGTTATTACATTACTGCTGTAATTATATCCTGCACACACATCATTTCTACTTTGCTTCATGAACTGTTCTTCAAATGTGGTGACTACTCATCTATTATGCTGCATATGTTAATGCTGAGGTTACTCTAAGTATTATCTTTTCTTCCTCATTGCTCTGCTGCCTGTCCACAAGAGATACAGGGGGTTGAATAAGTAACCAGCCAGTTGGTGTTTTTGCAAAGCTATAAGTTTTGGATTTTTTGAAGGTGATATTGAAAGCCAAAAACAATCATAAAACAACAAATCTCAGCAGAACAGCATATCATCTCTCCTTCAGTTTTTTATTTTTATTCATTTTTAATTGGAATCTGAGCAAGCATGGCTGAAACACCTTTAGCCTCATGGTCAAAGAAAGTCACACATACATGAATCATACCTCTGAAGAAGGTGTTGAAACAATTCTGCTCTTCTGGAGGATTTTTAGTCTTTGCTAAATACTTTTTTTTTCAGGGGAAAGAAAGAAGAGGAGTGGTCCTATCCTGGTGCACCAGTTGGATATTCCTGGAAACTAAAGAAATTGAGAAAAACTAATCTAACCGATGTAAATAGGAATTTTCGGGTGATAAAGCTTTACACAGATGGCTCAGTCTGTTCTGTCTCTTGTTTTGTCCAGTGAAGTTGCTATATATGGACAACTGCTTTCTGGTTTTGGCTGTGGGATATATTTTGCCTCTGTGTTTGTACCACTGCTCTCTGAACTGTCACATGCATTTCAGTATTTTTGTCTCGAGGCTCCCTCCTGCACTTCTGAAGAAGATAAGGCCTAATACATTTCTGAGTGTGTGGGCTAGTGTTCAAACCTGTGTGTTTGTAGTAGCATAGTATATCCCTGCAACTAATCATCAGCTCCCTGTGGCCATCTTGCCGTGACAATCGTGCCCAGTACCTTGGATATTATACTGCTGGGGAATCAGAGGTACACACAGTATGCCTGCACCTTTACAGGATCACACAGCTAAGCCAAGCAGTTCAGATTAGCTTGGCAATTAAGGGATAGTGAGAAGCAGGGAATCCCTAATGCTGACTGACAACATGGCACTAGTAGATGGAAAGGGAAAAGAAGCACTTGTGAAAACTTGAACGCTGTGAAACAGCCAAGCCCCTGAGTTAACACATTCTTTATACAATTGCCATCAGGCAGGTGATGTGTTCTAGGCTGAAGGTAACAGCTGATACCAGCATCCAACAATCTCTTACTGGGGAATTTGGTTTTACTACTTCTGTTTGTGTAGGTCCTAATGTTAGTTAAAGTGTTTGCTAAAAGAAAGCTCTGTTTCCAAGGTAACAGCTACCTAACTTTATTACTAAAACTGCACTAATTCAAACAGGGATCTGAACAAACAGATTCATGTTAATTTCAAGCTCCATTAAAAACACAAGGAAAAAAATCAATGTTCACCAAATGAAAAAAGAAAACAAATCAATAAAGAAATTTTATTTTCAGCCTCTTAAGAGGGGTTTTGTAAATAGTGGAGGTTAAAAAAGTAAAAGTACTTCAGAGTGATACAGACCGTCCTTGTAACCTGTATGGTAACAAAAGGAGAACAAAAAGATTGAATGATAATGTAGGAATAATTATTAGAGCTGTAAAACCCTGAGAAATGGAAGCACAGAAGTGGAATGACCTGTCTCAAGCCATGTGCAGCCAGGTCTCCTAACATCTTGTCTGGTGCCTCTGGGCTGTGACTCAAGAGCAGTGACCAAAAGCCTCAGAGAAGAGCACAGGTGTGATTGTGTCATGGCCTACATTACTCTGAGTACTGTGGGTGACAGCAGCTGTGCTGCCGGCACTCAAACATTTGCTGGCAACCAACATACAAACACTCCAGGGATCCTGGTTATGTGATTTGATTCCTACTATGTGCCAAAGCCCCTGCTGCCCCCGTTTTCCCTGCTGTCATTACCCTTGCTGGCAGAAAGGCAGGTACACTGGCACAGTTGCAGTCTGGGCACAGCCGGTGGCAGCCCTGGCACGGTGACAGCTGGGACTGTCGGGTGACATGTGCCACTCAAAGGGGTCTTGGGGATGGGGCTTCACTTACGATTGAGACACTAACTGAGCACTTGGGAGATCTGCATTCTTCTTCTCCCTGCTCTGAGTCTTCATGCTGCCCTGCCACCTGTAAAATGGGGATCATGGCTCCAGGTTTTCTAATGCAATTTTAAGGCTAAATCCGATATTAGGAGCAGCAACTCGGAATGCAGCAAGGTTTGGGGGACAGCAAGTGAGCCATTTTGAAATCAGGCCTTTGCATGGTAACAGCTGCTGGCTCTTCATGCTTACAGGACATTTATCTGATTCAAGAGGCTGCAGCTCCTTTCCTTTCAAATTAAGGCTGTCTTGGCAGGTGCATGACTTTTGAAACTGCTCGAAAAAGATTTTTGCAAGGAGTAACAATGACTTTTCCCCTTCACCAGGCCGTATCTTTTCCAATTTGCCACTGTTAATAAATATTCTCATTTCCAAAATCTGGATGGAGGAGAGAGAGCTATAAAGAGATAATTTTTCTGAATTCTCCACACTAGTGTGTTTCCTAGATGAAATATTGTTTTATTATTTAAAAGAGTGAAAATAAGTGACTGTAGCCTTGAAGTGCCTAAAGTGCAGGTAGTGAGAATTCCTGATAGAAGTCAGCTCTTCAAGATCCAAATTATTTCATTATTTTCAGGAACAGGATGTCTCATTCTTTTCTCTAAAATTTTTACTACTCACCACTGTCACTCTTCTGGAATAATGAAATTTTAGATAGGTGTGTGATAGCAGATTTTACCCAGCCAGCTAGAAAACAGTAAGGGTAATGTCACACACCTGCCCTTGGGAATAACACATGGTCTTACTAAATAGGGCTCCCCAAAACAAGGAGGTAAGGGCACAGAGAATGTAGGCAGTGCTCATACACCAAGCGTCTAGCTTTTAGTCTTTACATTCTTTGTACCTGTTAAGAAAAAAAATCTGAGAATGAGCAGATGAAGGGCAAAATCTGAAGGTCATGCACTGATGAGGCCTATCTGGTAAAGAAGCAGGACAAATTGGACAAAAAAAAAATCTATGGCACAATGCAGTAGTTTATTTTCGTTATCCTCCTAAGGAAAACTAATGATTGGAATGTACTTCAGAACACAGTAAAAGATATACCCAAATAAAACCTGAGTGCAGCAATCCTTTGAAAGAAAAGACTGATGACAACAGAAATCTCTGGCAACATTTGAGATGATTTTTGTCAAGACAGCTATTTTCTCCCAGCATTAGTCTTTTGTAGAGGAACCCTCTATTAAAACAGCACATGATACCTCTTTTCCTCCCCTCCTCTCCCCCTTCCCTAGCCGCCTCACTAGTATTACAATGTTTGCCCCATATTCTAAATGGTATTTGCTTTAAATCTTCTTTGATTCAGTTTCTTCACCTTGGCATCCCATCAGCTGGCAAACACAAGTAATGAAGTGAAGGGAACATAGTTAAGTTGATATCTTAAATGCACACAAATCCCACATGCTGTGGCAACAACAAAATGAATAACAAACACACTGCATGAAAATCCTCTTAAGTTCCTTTTTTTCAATTCCAGCCTTACATACAAGAGGAGGAACATCTTAAAAAATAATCCTGTAATATTCCTGAACTAACAGCATTGGCATGAGGCACAGGATGGTCTTACGCTTCTCTGCATATCTCAGGCAATCACAGCTGCTGCTAGCAAATTAATGGCTGCAAGGGGGTTGGGATAGGGAGAACGAGGAGAAAAAAAGGGAAATGGAAAGCCTTGTAGGTGGCCTTGTGTCTGCCAAAACTAAATATTTTCATTGGAACTTTTTCTATTCAACAGTTGGCAGATTTACCCAGAGGCCTTAAACAGACAGAAAAATTCTTACTGTTGTACTGACTGCTAATGGGATGCAGCACTATCTGCTAATGTACTTGAATTAATATCTATTTAATAATATAACTGTTTTCTCCTAAGGTGCCTTTCTTCTTTCTTTTCCTTTAAATTCTTGCCTGCTGGATCTGCCCGCTTCCCTTTGCCCTGGAAACTAAACCTTGGTACTTTATGCAAGATTTATGCTGGAGATGTAGCTAGTATTTCATTGTCAGTCAGGGTGTGATTTTGCGGTGACATTTTCAGCTATATTTTTATGGTAGCTGCAGTAAACCAACATGAAGCATAAAAACAAACATTTTTTTTTCCTGACAGAGTTCATTTACATCAGTGAACCAGACTAAAAGGTGCGCTACCCAAAGCACTTACGTCTGGTTTTACTTACATCTGCCCTAGAGGGCTTTGTTAGGATGGATATAGCTGGGCTGCCAGTAGCTCAGATGGGAAGGGGGGGTGTGTTGTGTCTCTCCATGTATGCATGAAGGGTAGCTGAAGTGCAGAGTGAATAGTGAAAGAAAAAAGTAGGTCTAATGTGCAATCTATTATTCTGGTGTTTGGGTGAAAACCCTCAAAGCACTGAAGTTGGGAGAAAAATTAGCAGGGTATCCTCATGAGTTCAAGACCCACTAACTCATACTGTCTGTTGGATTCAGTGGAGGTGGCTGAAGAGGTTGCTGACTTCTCCCTGCTCACCTCTGAGCAGAAGGATAAACTGACCCAGTTGTTCCTTCAGCTGCCTCATGTAACAACTAATCATATTTGATTCAAATAAATTGTTACCAACAAATGATTTATTTGTAACGGTTGTGTAAAAGATCTGATTTTCATTGTCAAAGCTTCCTGCCTACTCTGGACTTTTTCAATTGAAATTTCAATGGATTAGAAGGGTGGACAGAGCACACAGGAAGAATACTATTAAGCTAGAAAGTGATTTGATGGCCACAGTCAGTACTTTATTCAGCAAGGACAGTTATCCTTGAGGCTGAAGTCCTTAGTGCTGATAATCAAGGCCAATAGCTCTTTTCTTCCTCCCACCTTAATAAAGCAGAGCCCAAAAAATCAGTGGTGAAGGGACATAGGAGGAATGGAGGGAAAAAACCCAAAGGAGATTCCAGGCAGCTCCTGTGATGGTGGGAGGGAGGGATCCGTGTTGAGGCAGAGGGAGAACAATGGGAATGGAGGCATGCAGAGCCCCAGGATGCAGGAGACTAGGAAGACCCTGAGCAATGAGGGAATGGGAACCTGTGACCAATGGGCTCACATAATTGTGAACCTGTAATCTCAGCATGGAGAGTGGGATTCCCTCATTTACTCACTTATATGTACTTTTTCCCCTTCTCAGCAGAAGCTCAGACGTGAGTTCGGCAGTTCAAGACTGTTGACCTGCAATGCCTTTTCCACTGAAAACTTTTCTCAGCTTTGTGGGAATGTCCTCTGTCTCCCTTTTCCCTCTATGGCACATACTCTTTGCATTGTTAAATATTGATGCATTTTAATTCCATCAGGTTCACTGCCACTTGAATTTCTTTGGCCTTGATATGTTGTTTTTTCTTCAGTGCTTGCTTTCAATCTCTCTGGACCCAGAGAGAGGGAGGAATGGGGGCAGACTGGTATGAATTGATAATTTACAGTAAGTCAGTGTAATTCCACTGATGAAATGAACTGAATGAAATGAACTGTAGCTGAGAACCTGCTTTGTCAATGTTTC